GTAATAGTGTGCAAGATATAATGCAGCAGTTTTCGGAATATTCACAATACACTTTAAATGTATGTGATTATCAAATTTTTAGTAAAATTTTTAGTAATATTTTTCTTAAAACTAAAAAACGCTATCCAAATATTTAATTATATATAAATATAATTTTACTTTTATAAAATAATTGAAATAATTTTAATGTATATTTTTATCTATCATTATTTATATTACGTTTTTTAAAGATTTTTTTTCAAAAATTAATATCTTTTATTTAAAAAAAGAATTAATTCATGAAAAAAGGAAATATTTTTAAATTTGCTTTAGTATTATATTATTTTTTGAATTGTTATATATTGCATATTTTTTTTTATGAGTCACGATTTATTAAATTTTTTTTTTTTTATTAAGAAATCTGTTTATTATATATTTGACATCAAACAATTTATATAAACGTATAAATAATTATATACATAAAATGTGCAAAACATGAAAAATATATTTAGAGAGAAATCCACAGTTTATTCACTAATATAACTATATATTTTATTCTTTTTTTATCTATTTGCATTAATAAAAAATAAAATTGTCATATTAAAATTAAATTATTTTTTGTTTTACTTATTAAACTTATTTTTTTTAATATATATAAAATATATAAGATCTTTTGACTTCAAATTAATAATTAACAATTGAATAGGATTATAAGTACAAACGAAAAATAATGCAACTGGAATATGAGGTACAAATTGCTAACAACAAATATATGGAGTATGAATCAATTATAAATCAAATGGAGCACGATATGGTACAAATTCAAAAAATATGGAATAAGGGACAGAATCAGCAATCCAAAATAGACACACAAAATATCGCAACCAGTCCTATTTTACAAGAAAATAAACATGCATCAGTTCAAGCAATCGTAGATTTAAATCCAAAAGAAATACAAACGGATCCATACATTTGTTGCTTGAACAAGAAAGAAACGAATGAAGTTGAAGTTCAAACAATTTGTTTCGAAGAAAATGATTCAGAAAATTTAAAATTTAAAGAAAGGACGAAAGAATCGACAAAAAGTAACACGGAAATGGAGAAAGAAAAATCGACTTATTTCAAAGAAAGTATAGAATGCAAAGGCAAAGCAGAAAAAGAGAAAGAAGCGACGAAAGAAAATAATGATCAAGAAATTTCATTACTACGTGAACAATTGAACGAAGCTTTGAAACTTGTTTCAGAACGATCTTCTACGTTAATCAAATGTGAACTACAAATAACAGAGTGTCAAGCGAAGATAGACTCGTTAAACAAGATTATAAAAAACAAAGATGTAGAATTAGTGCAGAAGAAAAAATTATTGGACGAATACAAGCTTTCGTCTGAATTGCAAGCCTCTGATACACAATGCAGTGATCTCGCCTTAAAGTCGTCGATAAATAGCTTGCAGAAATTGCTCAGTCAAAAAGAGGAAACCATAGCTAGATATCAAAATCTATTGAAAGAAGACAGAGACGAACATAGCAAAGCTGCGGCTCGTTTGCAGGAAGAGATTAAAAATTTGCATATTCGTATTTTATCGATGGAAAACGAAACTCAAAGGGGCCAACATGAGAAACACGATAATAGTAAAAATAACGTGAAAGAAGAGCCTGAAAAATTGATCGATAAAACCTTAGAAATTACGTCGAAGACTGAAGATATAAAAAATATCGCAATGAGAGTGGAAGAGATTGCTAGATTGCAAGAAAAAGTCTCGACTCTGGAAGCGGATCTCAACATTACTAAGGAATTGAGCGATCGTTGGCATCGATTGGCGGAGGAAAGACTTAAACACATGGATCGTATGAGAGAAAGGTAAGTTGTGAATGATAATACATTCAATGATGATGATAATATATATCAAACTATTGTTTTCTGTTAGATTGGAGGAACAACATAAAAGTGAATTAGACATTTATCTTGGGGAATTGGCGAAATGGCAATCAGAGGCAGACATGTTGCGCAAACAATTATCTGAAAATCGTATGATGGTTACAAAAGGAAATATTACCTTGTTGAAGGAGATGCAAGAGAAGGATGATAAAATTCATCAGCTTAGTTATGCATGTCAAGAGTTACAAGTATCGTAGATCTTTAAAATATTTAGAAATTTATTTAGATATTAAATATGTATCTTTTAAATATATATATTTTTTTTGGAATGAAGAATGAAGTTCAGTTAATGGAATCTGCGACTCAAACGCGGCAAGCGATAACTCATGGAGAATCAGCATTGAAGATACATGAAATTACGCCAACTTTGAGTGCTCACGATGATATGCATCAACAACAAGATATTACACATCGTACAGATACTGTGAGAAAGCAACTGCATTCATTGATAGAAAAGGAGAAAATGTATAAAAACGAAATATCTGACTTGAAACAACAACTTAGCCGCAGGTATTTTTATAATGGACGAAAAATAAAATAGTAAAAATTATAATACAATGAATTCTTGTTATGACTTTTTATAGATAGATATCTTAAGATTTATTAAATAAAATTTAAATACAATATACATTTTTATAGAGTTTGTATAATTAATGATAAAAAAGAAAAAATTAATAAATGTTTTGAATTATAGTAATCTAATAATTAAGAATAATGGGATTTTTTATGCAATTTTTTTATTTTAATTTTAATATAATCCTTTCTTTTGATTTAATACAAGAAATTTAATCACAAGAAACACTTTAATATCTTTTCACTTATTTTTATTTTATTATTCTTCTTCCTTTTGGTTACTTTTTTCATTATCTTTATTACAGATACATGGCCGTAAGGATTCAAGAAAAAAAAACTTCTCAGCGTGAAAATCAACTTGAACGCAAAGTAAAATCTCTAGAAGAAGAGCTTTATAAAGCTCGAGCGCAATTAGATAGAGAGTATCTAGCTCAGGGAGCAAAGAAAGCCAAAGTATGTAATATGTTAACTCATTACTCTCAAATTTTCGTGCAATAATTTAAAAATCTATTGTATAGACAGCGGAAGAACTTTTATTATGGGAGAAACAAAAGAAGTGGCAACAAACTGCCGAAAAATTGAAAGAGAAATTGAAAGAGAAAACAGATGAGTACGCAAAATTATTTTCGAATTATGAAAAACTTCGATCAGTGGTTTCTTGTATGGAAAGAGAAAAATGGTATTTAAAAAGCAAATTAAAAACAGAAAACAATATTATAGCTGAAAGTATATCGGCTCGATCCACAACTGTTCATCAAAATATAATGCAGGAGCTTCAAAAAGAGTGTCAAACTTTGCGTGATCATATTAGAGAATTGTCCAATCGATTGGAGAACGAGAACAGTGAGAAACTTTTACTCCAACTCGAAGAGCAAAAGAGACACATCGCTGCTTTAGAAACCGTTTCTCAGGTCTGTCCCTTTATCGCTGTTTGATTTCTTTTTCAATATTTGTTTCTCAAATATTTGTCAATATTTTGTAGGGTAACAATAACGTTGTTAGTCAATTGGAGAAACTGGAAATGACTAAAGATATTTTGGAGAAAATGAATCTAAAACTAGAAGCTGAGAACTTCGAGCTTCGTATTGAATTGGAAAAGGCAAATGCGGATATGCCTAGATTAAGGGAAAAAGTTGAACATTTGGAAAAGTAGGTTTCTTAAATTAAGTTTTTTTTGCTATAAATTTTTTGAAAGTTAATAAAATACAATTCGATGAATTGGATATCATAGAATTTTAATTAATAATATTTTTATTTTTTAAATTTTTTGTCGTGCATACTTATTATTTATTTATTTTGAAATAAAAGATAGATTAATAACAAATCTTTAATAGATTAACAAACAGATTAATAAGATCAATCAATATTTTATTTGATAAAATTTATATACAGATACATAGAGTTGTTGAAAGTAGAAAAATCATCTGATTCGACTCCAAGATCGTCAGACAAAGATTTGCGGGATGGTTCGAAGAAATCTACTTTGGAGATGGAGAAAACGATTTTTACTTTGAAAAGAATTATCGAGAAGTTGCAGGTAGAAAATAGACGTCTCAAACTTGGATCAAAAAAGAATCATACGTTTCAGGCAAGAATATAATTAATTTTTAATTCTATAGAGTGATATTTTTTTCATTTCTATTAATGATTACATATATTATATATATATATATATCACACGTAGGATAAATTATTAAATAATCAAAGTGAAAATATATTGCGAAAGAATTACGAAGAAGCACAGAAACGAATCGTGGCATTAGAAACTGATTTACAATTAGCTGAGCAAAGAGTAGCTGCGTTGGAAAAGGTACAGAAGGAGGAGGATAACGGAGAGATAAAAATTTTGAGGGAACAATTGTGCCACAAATCTGAACTTTTAGACAAAGTGAAATATTTATTATCAAGAGTTGCCGTGAATGAGAAAACTCTTCGACAACGAGTAAATATACATTTTTATATGTATAAAAGAAAAAAAGATAAATGCTTCGAAAGTTAAAAAAAAAAAAAAAAAAAAAATAACAAAAGGATAATATACGAAACGTACATAATTTCAGGTACAGCAACTAGAATCGAAGCAAATATTGTCTACGATACCAGAGTGTCATGTAATATCTCCTACTCCAGAATAAAAAATCGGTGAGTAGAAAGTTTATGATACATTCTATCTATTCAAGATTTGTATAAATATCGATAAAATACATAATATGTAGTATTTACTGTCTTCTTTTGTGTGTTATATATTTTTTTCATTTATGATAAATCAAGAAAATTCAGAATTTTCCTTTCTTCAATTATTAAAGAGATATTTTGTTGATTTTTGTTTAATTAACGATATATATTCATTTTCCATTTTGATATTTGTTAATATTTATAATACTAATAATACTAATAATAATACTATTATGTACGAATAATACTTTAAATATTATAATACTTAATATAATATTCACAAATAACATATGGAAATTAAATAATTTTAATTCGTTATAATCACACATTCCTGAGTCAAGATCAAAAAATTACAAAAAAAAAAACGAAAAGAAAAATTCGACATTACTTAACAGAGAGATATATTATGTTCGTATATTCTATTTGCAAATTCAGACGACATACTAGTTTTGGTATACACTTAGCGTGAATAATTATTAAATAGCGAGGAACTTCAAGTCGATTTTAATTTTCTAATATTCGCTATCAAGCGCTTGGAGGAATGGTTGGATCGAATCCTCATCCTCGCAGTCAGGAATGAGTTTTCCTTTGTTCTTGAAACAAGAATCGGCACACTTCTGTCCAAGGAAGTACGGGCCGAACATTTTCTTGCATTGAGCGCAATTTCGGATACAGACTCCTTGGAAAATAATTTCAATAATTAATTTAAACATATGTCAATCAAAATTCAATATTTATTTTTAAAAAATGCTCGTTATTAAAAGTATTGATTTTACACGTATTATTTTTATTTTTCAATTAAACTTACCTATGGCTCGTTCGAAAGGAACGCTTCCTGCAACGAACGTGAATACCATTGAATAGACTAAAAAGAGCACCAGCAAAATACGGATTGAAGTGTTCATGACTGTAACAAACGTGAAATTGAAACGTATTAATTCATCCTAAATAATAATTCAATTCTATGCTTAACAAATTTCACTCGAATGTATTATTAATTATTTCACGATACAATTGGAAAAAACAAAGAAACCAATAGAATCCAGATAGATAATAACGAAACAGAGATATAACACTAGATATCGTGTGCAATTCATCAGCTTTTATTCCATCTATACAATATAAGAAATAGAAGAGATAGAGAGAGAGAGAGAGAAGAAAAAATACGGATTATAAATTGCAAAGCCTACTCTAGCCTCAGACAGGATGCTCTGTTCAAAGCCAAGCGTTGATATCTCATTCACTTTTCTCGATTAATTACCGGTCTTGGACAAGTGGTCTTCGATCAGGAGGAGGAGGAGGAGGAGGAGGAGGAGGAGGATAATAATAATAAGAAAAAGAAGGGGAATGACACTCGTGAACTTTCAGGGATAAATGCTCGAAGTTGTTGAACCAAGAGACGGTCGAATGTTTGAGCAAACAAGAATTAGGTGTATCGTATCTCCTTTAATAAAACCGAATTATCCTTTCTGTTCAACGAATGGCGATACTTATCGCCCGCCACCGATTATATCGCGTCTCTCCGATGTAAATTGTTCGAGCGTATCCGCTGTTGGTGGTCATCTTCTTTTTTTTTTTTTTTTCCTTTTTTCTTCCTCTTCCTTCATTTATACCCAGTCATCTATAACCAGAATCTCCCGGATCGTACTTCCGCGTTCTCCTTAACGGTCATATTGTGAACACATAAACATAAATATGGATGGAAGGTGTATCTTATCTCTCTGTCTTACAGCCGTGTCTCCTTCTCTCCCCCGTCTCTCTCTCTGCAGGAAGCAGATTGAAGATTCAAGACCAAGGATCGATCGATCGATCGTGGAAACAGCGATAATCGTGCGGATCAATGGACCAGGATACGTGCGGTTGGAGTTCGTTGACGATACGTGTAAACCGGGATCGAGCATGAATCGGATCGATGGATCGGTTAGGTGAAGGATAGGGCCACGTGACTTGTGTGAAACGCGTTTTCTCTCTGTCGGTATCGGAACGGTATCTTTATTTACCTGGTTGCTGGTACGCTTGGACAACAAGTCGAGGCTGCTGGAATTGATAAAACCAGACGAATGACACTGAGCACTGCACGATGACGGCCTTATATATCCGTTGAGGCCAGATTCATCCCTCGAACCGAGGGAAACCCCGCTGCCTATCTTACCTTAATTCGATTTCTTCGATTTCCCGCATTCCTCGGAATCGTGCGACTCTCCGCGACACCGGATTCGCAGAGAAATTTCGATCAATCGTTAGCTGCCTGATTGGTTAAAGGAGATCTGACAGTATCGTCTTGGAAAATTGTCGGCCACTATAAATATATCCATCTATCGCGGGTTTTCTACTTCCAGGAATATGTGAAACAGGATCTGATCAAAATCAATTTTATCCTTATTTATTATTCCTCATTTTATTCTCGGAATGTTTAACAGGCAAAGTGAGATAATAACATTGTTCGATATGACTCGATTCAGAGATTAGCTCTCGTGATTAACGTAACATCACTTCATCCGTGTTTGCAACGTTCACGATCCATCCCAGGGATTGAGATTTCAATCGATACGCCGCTATTTCCTCCTTTCTTGCGCCTCCATGTCGACTCTCGGAGATTTATATTCTAAGGACCAGAAGTTTTTGTATTCGAGCGCAGGCTCGTCTCCGATCCTTTCGGCCTCATCGAGCCGCGAGACACGACTTTTCTCTCCCAACATTGCCGACAATGCCTCGTACACGTCCTCTTTACGGGATCTGTCCTTTCTCTTCCTATCTTTTCCGATATCCCCTTCCAAGTTTCTAATTGCATCGCCCGAGACGAAATATCGGGATTTCTCCTCATTTTCGAATCCAGGCAAACGATCGTCCCTCTTTTCGAAGACAAATCTTAAAAAGTGTTCGTTCTCCTCGTTAGAATCTTCCCGATTGTTTATTTTCTCGCTTCTCGTTCCATCTTTTTCTTCATCCTTCTTTTCATCCACTTTTGCGAAGACTTTGCTCGATTCACGAGATTTTGGTAGATGATCAAAAGTGTGTTGTACCTCGGCACAATTCCTTTGCCCGTTCGCTTGTTCCCTGAACGCATTATCACTTTCGGATTCGTCGGCTGAAACTCGTTTCCCGTTCTGCCCGTAATTGGCCCGCGTCTCCTTTTCGAGCAGCTTCAACTTTTTCATTATCGGATCGTCCTTAAGAAATTCGTCTAGATCGAATGGCTTCCTGTATTCGTTTATGTCGAAAATTATGGGACCTGATCGACTTCCTGTGTCCTCCCGCGTTTCCCCCGGATCCTCCGTGGGAGGGCCGTGATTTTCTTCGGAATTTTCTCCCGCTCCTTTATCGACGTTGGAATTATTTAAATTATCCTCGTTACTTCGCAGTTCGTTTGAATTCTTTAACAGCCCCCCTCCTTTACTTCCTTCGAATTTATCGCTCTTTAAACGTTCGCAAGAGTCTTTGAAGTCGTTCGATCTTTCCGGTTTTTTTAAATTGTCCGGTTTGTTATTATCGTCGTTGTTATTATTATTATTATTATTATTCAGTCTTTTTATATCCGTATACGTTTTAAAATTTGTGAAATTCGTATCATTTTCTTTAATTGAGTCTCGCCTTGAACCTTTCCACGAGTCTTCTTCGGAGTTCGTTGATATTTCTGGATCGATAAAATCGTCATTCTTCTCCTCTTTCATCCGACGATCTTTCTCATCCAAACTTTCTTCCCTGATATCAGAGTAATCCGGCACCTCGACATACGGAATTTTGTTTGGATCGTACTCTAAAATATCCGCGGATGTCCCGTTGTTAACAGTTTTCTGATGATCTTGTATGTTGATGTAATTTCTACGATTTTGCCGTTTAACCAAACTCTGCGATGTATTCGTGTCTTTAATTGCTTCGTTTAACATATTTTTATCATCTTTCGTGTTTTCCAAACTCTTTTGCATCTCAAAATATTCGTTAGAGGACACGTAAGTATGCTTGTTTGATTCCTTTAACAAAGGTTTCATCGTAGTTTTCGATTGCAACGAATCGAACGTGTCCTGAAACGAGTGGTTCTTTTGCTCCTCGTAACTCAGCTTCGGATGACGATAGAGCCTCTTCGATAAGGGAACTTTTTCTTCGAAATAATTGGATTTTTTCTTGTCCAAGGAACGTTTCGAACGTTTCACCATAGTTTTTCTCCGGTAATTATTTAATGCGTTCGCTACTTCTATCTTATTTTTACCATTGTTTCTACCAGATTTTAGAAATGTACTTTCGAGAAGAACAAGATTCCGATTTGAAAAGTTGGTTGAAGAATTGTTGCTTACGTCTTTTTCAACTTTTTTATCGATCTTCTTCGACGGTTTTTTCATCACACTTCTTGCAGCTAAAAGCGACTCGATTCGTCTCGTTTTAGCCTGAAAATTTTGAATTTTCGTTACGTTAACGCTATTCGTTTCCTTCAAGGATAAGACATTACAATGCAAAACACTGATCTAATGTTAGATAAATATCTCAAGTACATATATATATATATATATATATACACATATGTATTATTTTCACCCAACATTGCACGCCTTCGATACACAGTGCGCAAGAAACATAGATGCTGCTTTTAACTACCTTGTAAATCATTCTCTCCCGACGTCAGTAGTAAATTTCACGTGCTCGCCACAATGAAATATTTACTATGCCGTTGCCATAGAACATCGCCGAATTTGAAATGGATAATATCGTTTTTTTTTTTTTTTTTTAAATTTAAAGGAAAAGGGAAAGAATTAAGAGAGAGAGAAAGAGAGAGAGGATAATTCACAAAATTGATGAAATTTCCATAGATGGCACTCTCGTTAATGTGATTTTATTTATGGTATTTATGTACAAAATATAATTACAAAATAAAAGACTGGGGATGTACGATGGTTCAGATGATTGTTTTTTTTTTTTATTTATAACAATCGCGAAAAATTCTTTTTCTAATTTTTAATCCAATGGTTCTCTGAACCATTGTACACGCGTGTATATTAGGATGGAACAAGATACAAAGCCAAAATTTATTCGTGCTGTTCTAATAGCGAAGAAAAGTTATCTTGTATAATGATATTTAAATCTGAATTTCGAAATTTTAATTTTCATTGATCATTTTATGAATGTTTTTTTAAATAATTTATATATTTTTATATATTTTTAAATATTGTTTCTTAGTATGTAAAAATAATTTATCGAGTAGAAAAGATTATTTACTCATTTATACATTAAAATCCATAAACTTTAACTATTAATGTTCGGGTGTTCATTTTATTTGATTAAAAGAAATTTAAGAAATTTTCGAATTCAACTCGATTATTATTTTCGAACATATCAATTTATATTTCAAGGCAAAATTTTTATTATCGGAGAATCACTTGAATCAAAAATTGAATAATGTTAAAAATTTTGGCGTAATTATTAATATATATATATATAAATCTGGAAGACTAGACTTTTCTTCTCTACTAGAGAATAGCCATATTTTGACATTTTCATTTCATTTTAGTGTTATATATTATACATTGTAGCTAGTAATACAATAATGTTTGAAGCGATAAAAATAAATACCATTTCACCTTATGCCAGACTCACACTCCATAACATTACGCTTTTGCTGTTACTCATATATTTATTAAAATAAAAAAAAAATTAGGGAAAATGAAAAAAAAGTTATACGTCTATAACAATAAAAAAAGAACGTTTAGTAAATTATATATATATATTCGAAAAAAAATCACACGAATAGATGTAGTATTATACAAATTAGTATTTCAATACTCCAAGTTGTTTTTTTGAGGTTAAGATAATTTTTTGATGAATATTCCATTAACTTATGTCATTTAATATTAAGAATGCAAAAATGTTTTTAACAAAATTGAATTAAAATTTCAATTAAATCCTTGTTCGCAATTTTGACAATGTAAATAGTATAGTTTATTATATGATTGATATGATATTTATTGCGTTAGTATTATTCGTTTGATAAAAGATACTGGAATACTAATTTGAATGAAATCTGTTAATAGCTTTATAAAAAGAATTGATAAAATTGATTAATAATTATAATTAAATTATAATTAAAATTAAAATAAATAATAGTTTTAAGAAAAGAAATTTGAATAATATTATTAATAGTTTTAAAACAAATTTCGATTTTATATATTTATATAATAGGCATAAAATTCAATTTTACGAAACCTCTACTAAATAAAGATTTAATCATAGATTAATATATATTAGCAATAAATATCATTAATTTTTTCGATATATTCATTAAACACAAGATATAAAATGGGCAGTGTCTTAAAATGTTAGAAAGTGCATGATAGTGCGAGGATGAACAAAACAATTTATTTTTCTTCTCTTCGAACCTAACCTTAAACCTGACACGATAATGGATACGCGTTCTAATTTAATGAATATTATAAAGAGATTATTATATAAAAAAAAAAATTATAATTATTTTAATATATTATAAATGTGATTTTTTTTTTATCATCGTTTCAAAAATTCTGTTCTTTCATGCGATTCATCATCCTCGTGCATCATCGATGCTCTCTTTATACTCATAATTGGCGCGCGATTACTTTCTGAATCCCAGATATGAAGCAATGCCATTAATGCTCTCAAAGAAGAGTCGTAAAACCTGTTGTCTGTTGTATTGGTTCCGCGCCTTTTCCGGTCTCGTTGGTTCTCTTGGTACATCAAGCAAGTGCTCTTCCACCAATTGCTATATATAGTACAATAGGTTTACATTTGTACGTGCTTGTACAGTCCTTTGTAGAGTATTGGTAGGGAATATTGGTAAGTATCGAGATCTTCGAAATTCGATTATTTTTTTTTTCTTTTTTTCATCTCGCTTTTTCATTTCATATTAAAACATGAAATAGGATAATGTGTTTCTGCTTTGTACCTTTTTTTATTCTATTTAGGGAAAAATTATATTAAGCCAATCCCATAAATAAGTGATTTTTATTAAAAAGATTTGATACATTTATTATGCTAGGAATTTTATAAAAAAAATTAATAAAAGATTTAACAGGAAAATAATTGTAAAATGAAAATAAAGGAAGGAAAAAGAGTATTTATTATTTATGGAATGACCTAATATTTATATGCGATACATGAAAAGACTAGATAATGGACATTGCTACCCACCTTGGTGCGATTTTATGGAGGAAATGAATTTTTGCTACGTGCTGTTATGTACATCGTGTGTGTGATATCACGTATGAAAAATAATTAAAAATTCGATAAGAAAAATGGATAAATAAAAAAAAAGAAGAATAGAATTCTGGTAAAATTGAAGAATATACTAAAAACTTAGATAAATAGTGAGTAAACCAAAAGCTGTAATTTTCCATGCATAGAATATATAAAAATAATCAGACATTCAATTCTATATAAAATCAAATTGAATTATTTTTCATAATTTACATCATCGATGAAAAAAAATTGATACAAATGTATATAAATTACGTATATGTATGTATATCTATGTATATAGAAATAAAAATTAACAGATTAATATAATGTACACATTTGAGCTATGTTAATCGATTAAACTTTTGGCGGATTGTCTTGAAATAATTGTATCGAATCAAATAATTTTATTAAACAAATCGAAATACTAAACATTGGTTCCAGAATATATAAGAAGATATAAAGGAAATATTTTTGAATATTTTAAATTCTTTTAGAAGAATAAAATTTTGCAAAACGTAAATAAAATTTTCGAAAATGATTGCCTATTACGAATAAAATTAGAGTATTCGACAGGTATTCACACTTGATTACTCTCTACATATCTGTTACTTCAAACAGAAGTTAATTTGAAAGAATTCATTTCACAACTTGTTAATCCATATAAATCGTGCATTCATTCGCAACTGATATAATATATATTTGTAATAAAATATAACACAGGCATAGCTAAATGCACTATTGTATTCATACTAGATAGATTCATAAGCGATTATTAAAAGCATTCATAGAAATTGTTACAAATCGTGTTATTACGATTGTATTTACAACTTCATGATGATTTGATTGAGAATTTTGCAATAAAAAAGAGGTAGATCCGTTTTTCTTTATTTAATATATTTAAAAAAAATAATTACTGTGATGTGAACTAAGTGTAAATTTGCTCATCAACGTGCTCAGATTTTGAGTTATTTTGTTACTACATAAGAATCCAGAAAATCTGGTCCTTATTTTTTTTTTTTTTTTTTTTGCATTTAACAAGAAACGATAATTCTAATTCGTAAAGCAACGTATCAATTTAATAAATTGTATACTTTATTAGTAGTTATATCTTTATGCAAATTGGAATCATCCTTAAATTCGAAAAATTTATTAAAAATTAAAAACAACTTATCAATTCAATAACATCAAACAAATTATGTGAGAATGAACTATTTTTTTATAACATGTATAATACATCTTTCTAATTTTTCTGAAATTATTATTAACAAATCTACTATCCTGCAAGATTCTCAATTTTCCTTTCGTTCAATAATTACGATAATTAATGGTGGTTAATGCACAAAGTGTCACGATTGTGCGTGCATTCCGCCATTCTTATTTAAAGATATGTTACAAAAATCCTGATGTTAAATCGTAATGTGAAAGCAACTAGTTTATGGCGTTTATATTCGTGAATTTCTTAAAATTAATCTTTATACATTTATAATATATAAAATTATAAAAAAAAAAAAAAATGTATAAAAAAAAAAAAAGACACATAAAAGAGAGACTACCTCGACATCATAATTTATATATAGTTTCGGATATAAATTATAATTCTAGTTTGATGATAAAATAAATTAATATCTAGGAATATATTCATCTAATTAAAAGAGTCGCTAGAGTGGTGTCTATTCGGATGTCTATAACTATAACAACTGTGTTGCATTTATGTCCGCATCTATTATGTCCCTAAAGCTGATTTGAAATGGAACATGCAGGTTCATCTATAATTTCCTACGCTACGATACCGTAATGTGTCTCGGGGTAAAAGTGCCTAAAAGTCGTGCTTCTTGGCTCTGTTGTAACTGTTCTTCACTACATTGGTGATGGTTTTCTGGTCTAGGCGATAGTTTTCGCTAAATTTTTACGTCTAAAAAACAGCTTTTTTATTTTCCATATGCCTGGTACGTCTCCGCTATATTACTCACGTATTGAGCATGATTCGCGGTTGGGAATTCCGCCCATTTGGTTAGATCCATACTAGGCAGGACGCCGCTTCGACAGGGTACTCGTGGGTTTCTGCAAGGTGAACGATGAATTTAATTATTTTACGTTTCTTCAAACGTTATTTAAAGAATCATTTTTTTTTTTTTTGTGAGAGAAATTTTAGTGATTCTAAAAACTAATTTCAAATTTGTCTTATTTTATAAACATTCTGTACTCTTCTCTCTAACATCTTATTTGGAAATATATTTTTTAGTACATATATTTAGAAATTAAATCGTTTTCATTGTATTTTCATTTCTCTTGTTAAAAGAAATAAATTAAAAAATTTTAGAATACATAGAAAACAAAAAATTATTAAATAGGATATTTTAATTAAAATATTATGGTCTCGCAATGAGATTTTTATTTTAATATTAATGACAATCGTTGTAACTTCTAATTATGTTTAAATATTTAAGTATACTTATTAACGCTACTATTATAACAAAATATATAATAATAAGATCATAATTATCAAACATTTATCATAAACTTTATTATTAACTTCATATATCATATCTTAGCTACCTTATTCGATTTCAATTCACAACATTTTACTTACATTTCATGATCGGGCAATACCATGGGATAAATCTGTATAGTGTCGATCAAATCCGTGTTGTCGCAGATCACTCTAGCGAGTTTTATTTTTCGAATCTCATTCAGTTGATCTGAAAAATCAAAACACGATTAACTTTAATCTCGTTTCAACTAATCTTTTCCAATTTTTATTTTTCTTTTTTAATCATAACTCACTTTACACTTAATCAATAGTATTAAAATATATTCACATAGAAATATTTTATTATACGTAATTGTTTTAAAAATAATTTCATTCGAAAATATTCACAGGTTGGTGGAAACCTGTTTCTCTAAAATTTATAAATTTCCATCTGTTCGATATTTAGGATCGAAAGAATTTCTTCTCACCGAGAGTGAAGGACGATGGTTGGTTCGGCAACTCATACCAAAATCGGTCGCCTCGACGGGAATAACTGAATTGCGTGGCGATTATACAGGCGAAGGTTGGCCCGAGCATGCTACCCGGAAGTGGTCTCTCAGATACACCACCGGACCAGAGATCGACGTCAGCTGGATGCCTGAAGATCAATACACGCACCGTTATTCCGGGAATTTCGTATTCAATTTCTGGAAATGATGGTTACGAACATATTTCGAAAGTGATTCACGAGAGATATTACAGAGAGATATTATAGCTTAAAATTAGCATCGGTTTGAAATATCGGTGAATTTATTATGTTCCTTCTGACAAGTTTCGTGTTCGTTGAAAATGACTTATTGTTGGGATATTTGGAATTTTTCTTGGATTTTGTAAAAATGGTTAGAAATGGAAGGTCAATACTTACTCAAAAATCGAGCTGTAGCGTCTGATCGTCTCATTTGGCATAGAACCGTGTAGCTCGTCAAAAGTGTCTACCCACGGAAGTCCACAGAATTTTCTGTAAAAAAGACAGATTGAATTGTCGAAAGATTGTTGAAAAATAATAAGACGACTTAGCGAATTACTTTCGTTTTTCTTATTTTTTTCTTTAAATGATATGGATTTCTACGAATTATCATCGTTTCTATAAATCTTTTTCTTTTTAAATTTGCATATACGATACGATTTATAAAAAATTATGTATACAAATTAGAAATTGTATGTATATAAAATAAGAATTGTTAAAAAATAATAAAATGAAGTTTTGTGAATTATATTTATTTTTTAAAATCATCTTTTTTAAATTAATAGAATATAATTTATACAAAATTATGTTATGTATAAATTAACAATTTTTTAAGTGAAATTTTAATAAACTATAATTAAAAAATTTAGTAAATTTTAGTTAACAAACTTTAAAAAATAAAATTTTAATAATAAAATGGAATCTTTTTTTTTTTTGCAAATTAATACAATTTGAATATTTTATATAATTTTTTATGAACTTTCCTAAATTTATAATTATGAAATTTCCTAAATGTACACGATGTTGATATATGGAATATTTTTGAAGGATCGATTCTAAAAGTTAAAACAAATATTAAAATATATGTATATACTTTTTGTTAGATTATAAGCAATTTAAAATTTTGTTAGTTGAAACGAGACAGAGATAAAGTTCTCTCTTTATCATATCATGTTTTATTCTATTTTGTTTTATCTAACTCACAAAAACATAAATTGGTTACAACTCAATAAAGTCTGAATTGATATTTTTGTATATCAATTTTTGCGTTTATTTTTTCCAACTTTTGTCTCTAAAATTGATTTTTCTATTAATATATTAAATTATTATTATATATATTAGAGATTGTTAGAAAAGATATTAAATTGATATTCTTCCTGAATTATATTTCAATTTTTTCTAAAATCACTTTTATAAATTTGTATAATATAAATATCTCAAGTACCAACCTGAATTCCATATAACTTGGAATACCAAATTCACGTCCTCGTTGCATATTAAATGAGACCAGATCTAATCCAAACTTAGCTCCAACTTTTTTAAATAAATGATTTGTCACCTGAAATCAATATAAATTAAACATTCTCTGTTTCTTATTTTTTTATTACATCCGGTAAATTATCTCAGAGAATGGTTTCATACTTCTTGCGTAATAGAATCGTCCATAGCTTGAGCAACTTGGTTCATCAATCCCATAATGTATTCGTCGAAAACTCCAGCACGATACAAATCGAACGGTCTTCTAATCAAATCTGATAGTCTCTTCGAAGCTATAGATGTATAGAAATAATTAATATAATAAGAAATGAATATGTAGCTTTTAAGAAAATTTTATATTCAATCTTTTGATGAAATATCGGCTTCCGACTCACCAATAAATTTATGAGCTTTACTCCACCTTTCGACCGCCGTTGGCAATAATGAGTGTCCGAATCTGAAGGCTGCAGAGGCAAAAGCATCAATCACAGATGGATTCACGCTTTCGTCGTAACCATCCCAATAGCTCTGTGTAAATTAAATATAACACTTATGAATATTACATTTCGTTATATGGATGAAGGAAGCAAAAATCATTAATTTAAATCTAATTAGTCAGATCTCGTGTAAATAATTAAACAATCAATAGTGATCAATTCTGATATACGAGGATATTAATACTTTAATATATTTTTATTATGATAATATTATAAAGAATTCAAAGAAGGCAATTTAGAAAATAATTATTTTTTTATCAGAAAATTGATATCAGATACAGAAAATATTATATTCTCATTTTCTCCTTGTTGAAAAACAAAATTGAAATTAAAACGAATAGAAAATAGTCAAATTGTGTTACTTATAATACAAAATTTGTATAACTTGTATAATTTGTATATCATTAACAGTTTATTCAGGATTCATTGTAATTAAAAAATACATCGAAATTATTTGTCTACATTTTGTAAAAAAAAAAAAATAATTATACTTTATAATATTAAGAGTAATTAAGTACTTTTAATGTATAATTTTTTATATAGCAAATAATTTTTCTAAAATAAAATAAAATAATAAATATTTGTTAAAAACAATCTTTAAATTAATTTGTATAATTTTTTCAAATGTATAATTTTTCATAGGATATATCAAATACTTAATTTAAAAAATATATATTCCACGAAGAATTTATATAATTGTGACTAATAAATGTTCAATATCTTACATTTTTTTCAAGAAGAAGTCCAAACTTTTCCATGACATCTTTGCCGAGTAAAATGGGTAGAAATTCATTGTAGGTGATATGTTGAATTTCTGCAATAACGATTCTTCTTGCTTCTTGATACAGCGTTTCATCGTCCCAATGAGGATTTATTTGAATTAACGTCTTCGCAATTCGATTATGCTCACGTGCCATCAAAGTGTGCATGCAGGTTAATACTAGCTGCTCGTTCACTCTTATCTCACCTGTCAAAAAATAATCATTTGTTTAAGAATATAATCGTAATATGTTTAAAAATGTATAATTTTTTTTTCTAGCTGGAAAGTAGAACAACCGCATTTTGTCATTCATAAATATCTATTTGAAGAAATCTTTATCCTCATATTTTTTTTATTTCTGCATTTAAATTTAATGGATATATATTAAAATTATTTCCAACATTATTTCTATATTCTTATTTTTATAAACTTGATATATTTTCTTAGCTTTTGTGAAAAGTTATTATTATTATCATATTTTTATTTATATGCTATTATATGTTAATTAAAATTTTAATGATATTTAAAAAAAGTAAAAACTTAAAATTTATTACCACGATATATTTTCATTATTCACTATAATATTTTTAATAGTAATTGCGATTTTTATATATTTTATAGATTTTATAGATTAAAGTTTTATTTAACTAAATTTTGATTAAAGATTTTTATGCCATTTATTTATTATTCTAATTCTAATTCTAAATCACATTTTATTTTAGAATTGCAACTAATTAAACGGCTGTATCCACATTGTTACACATTTTTATTCGTTTATTTGAGTATCATTATAAAGAAAATTAGAAATTTAAAATTAGTTATTATTAAATTTAAATTGTGCGAAAGTATATAAATATAAATTTTTATAAAAATACCATTATGCAAAAAAAAAAAAGAGATAAATCTAAATATAATATAATTAATTTAATTTGTAGTCAATGTTAAAATCCATATTATTATTTTTAAAAAGAAAATTTTTATTCAAAAAAAATAAAAAATAAAACAAAAAGATTAAGAATTAAATTATTTTAATTTTAATCCTTAATTCTAAACTTTATTCTCAATTCTAATTTAAAAAAAGAACTCTTGAGTTCGATATAGGTATAATATTAAAAATTAAAAATATAATCATGGCATTATTATAAACATAAGCTCTGTAATAAACATTTAGACTACATGTCTAAAATAATCATTTTCATTTATGGTGTTCATTTTTGATTATATCGATTTTAACTAGTATTTCTTTTCTCAAGAATTTCTGAGATTCTAAAAGAAAAAAATTTTAAAAATTCTTTCTCGAGAGCTTTTAAAAAATTTTTATAATTCCTTATAATTTTTCATTCTGAAAGAATTATAGTATCTTTTAAAATCTTTATTTTTTAAATTTTAAAGGGAAAATTATTATACATTTCTTATTTATTATCATTTATTTTATATGTGATTAAACCATCTCCTCAAAACGAAATAAAAAGCAAATTGATCGATGTTATATTATATTTTTCAAGATCGTCTTTATAACTGTTTTTATTTTTTTAAAACAAAAAAAAAATAATGATTGGAAAAATTAAAAATAATTTTTAATGTAAACTTATTGATTACATTTAACATTTCTATTCTCCATTTTGAATTTATATAAATTGGATAAGAATCATTTAACTATTTAAGTAAAATTTTTTAATGTTTTTAATAAATATTATTAATAATATTCTAATAATATAAGTTTTATATTTTCAAATTTTTTGATTTTCGAGAAATATCTTCTGATTTATTATTTTTCGAAAGAAAAAAATGCAAAAAATTAGAAATATTAATTTTATGAAATGGAAATTCAAAACGATAATCAAATATATCGAAAGTGCTTCGATCATTGATATCAACTTTACGAATAGAGCCGTCGACCTTGATTTGAGACCACTCCCTTTCTCGGTTACACATCGATAATCGAACAGCCACCAACGCGACAGCGTTTCATACGAATTTCGACATTACTGTCTTCGATTACTGCCTTGTGTTCTAGATAATGGCATTCCTATTATCATTTTGCCTTCCAACTATATATTCTCTTGATAATTAATCATGTTTTTTGAACAATTTCGATTGTGTTTGAAATTAATCAATTTTTTTGTTATCTCTTATTAAATTTTTTATTGCGTTTTTTTTATAAAATTATTAAATATTGATAATTTAAAGCAGAATTTATTCAAATGTAATTATATATATCTTCTATGATTCCTTTGCATTCTTTTAAATAAATTAAATATTATAAAAATTTTTATTTTTGAAAATCGTTCGTTCAATGATTTTTTTCTAATTTTATAACATTTTTAAAAATCTTTATTTTATCATTTTGAATTGAAAAACTTTAAAAAGTATTAAATTTTTATTTATTTTTACGAAATAACAATGATTTATTAAAATTTAATACAAATTTATCTAGAATCTAATTTTAACATTATATATTAATTTGATTTCCTTGGTAAAATTTTTTAATAATGAAAAGTTTTCAAAAAATAGCGTTGTTATGAAAATTGAAATAATGAACTAGATCTTTATCATTTCTTGTATTTAAAAATTTATAATGTAATAGTCTTAATAGTTAACAAAATTAATAAACAATAAAGAATTAAGTATTTAGAATTTGAATGATTGAATGATATTGAATTCTCAATATAAAATTAAGAATTTTGTAAATATAACAAAAAAAAAAAAAATAAGATAAGTAAAATTAAAATAATTATATTTGTTTCATTAGAATATTTTAATCAACAGCAATTATTTTTATTGTATTATTAAATATTATTATTGAATAGTATATTATTATAACGGCTAATTATTTCTTTGGAATTGATATAATTAAAAGAAATATTTATAATTTTTAATTGTGTGCTTAGATGATAAAAAATATAAAACGTTTTTTATCCCATAAAAAAAAAATAAAATTTTAAATGTCAACATGAACTTTATGGATCGATCTAATAAAATAAATATATTAATCCAATATATCGATATACTACATCTCAATATTTGACATTGATATAAATATTATTATTAAACTATATATTCATATACAGAAAGTAGGCATAATATTTTGAATAACTTATATTATTTATTTATTAAATTTTATATCTTTAAAATAATTTTATATCTTATTTTAACTAATATTTTGCTTAAATCATTTATAAAATTATTAAAATTATTGAAGTTTTGAGTAAATATAATATAATTCGTATAATTAATTTTCGTGAATATTCTAAGATTTTTAAAAAAAAGAATAATTAAACAGATAATTATAATATTGAATTTTTACGCGAATAAATAAGTTATAGAATCTTTATAAAAATAATTTTCATAAAAATTGAAAATAGTATTATGCATTTTACTCTTAAAAAAATTCATTTAAATCCAAAATTCTGATTTTGATAAAAGTTTATGTGTATATAATAGACAGTATAATAGATTATATATAGATCAATTTTATTATCCATTTTTTTTAAAAAAATGAGATAAGTTAAAAGTTTAGCATTTTTTCATATTTTTAATATAATTTCATACAATTTAGAATATTTTTTTATAACGAAATGATAAAGCATTTAATAGATTTTGTTACATTTTGTATTATTAATATAGTCACATTTAATATAAAAAAAATAAAAAAAGGAAGAATACTTTAAAATCTGATTTTTGAAATAATAAAACAATTGTTTTATAATTTATTTGTTTTATATATATATATATTCATAAAGTTTTATATAAAAGAGAATTATTATTGGTCTTAACAACACAACTTTGCATAAGATTAGAAAGATTTCTTATGTATTTAAAATTAACAAACTGTTCATTTGCAAATTCTATTCTATAATTTGTTGTAATATAGCGACGAAAATTCTTTCTGTTGAAATCGATTATGCAAATGATCATTTATAATCAATCTTCAAATTAATTATAGAAATTAATTAATTAATATAATTAACTATAGAAATTAATTAATTAATTAATTAATATAAATTAATTATGGAAATTAATTACTCAATAGAATTAATAGAAATTTAATACAACACAATTGTTTCGTTTATATATATATATAAAAGTAGGCTTAAGATAACTGTGATTTTCTGTCTGGTTGAGCATAACGTGGACAAATTATTTCTCAGATTGTTGAACAGAGCAAAAGTATGATAAAATCGATGAATTTTTTATTTTTCATCTAGCATACAATGCCAGTAAATTTCGATTCCGAAATGACAGCAAATTAGATAAAATATTTGTAAATTGAACTGAGTTGTCATACTAATATAAAATAATATAATAACATAAATATAGAATAAAAAAAAAGAATGTTTCTTTTGTATTTATTTGTTGTAATTAATATGATAAAATATTAATGTTAATTTAATATGTTAATATTGAAAATCGAATTTAAGAAATTATTGTAATTAATTTGTTTACCTTTTCTTATAATAATTTAAGTATTTATCTATAATCATTTATGTATTATCTAATATTATTTAGTTTTATTTTAATGCTTTAAATAACGTAAATATTAGAATTTGTGATACAAGAGAAATAATCTGAGATATTTAACAAAGGATATAGATTAATACTGCATGAGGATAACGTCGCTTTTGAGAAAAATATTTAAAAGACTCTTGAAAGTGTTTATTAAAAAAACTTCAGCATGGCTGAATTGAATTTGAAATGATATTTTTCAGTTATACCAATCTCAATAACAATCAGCATCATCTTACATTCGTGGATCAATTTTCTTGGAAATATTGAATTCTGCGAAGAACATAGCTTAATTCTAAGAATTTTCCTTAGATTGAAAGTGTTACAGAAGATTGGTTCACGGTGTCATTATGTATCTCTTCGAAAATGCGCGATTTTCTTTCAAAATGAAAGAAATTTCAGAGAACATAAATATTTATAAAATTCGAGGAAAAATCAAAACAATTCTAATCTTTGAATTATTAGAACATTTTCAATTATAGAACAAGTTTAATCTTTGAATTAGAATGCTTTGAATTATTAAAATATTGAAATTAATTGAACAATTTGAAAAAAATGATCAACTTTTTCGAACTTTAAACTAATGGAACTAATGGAACTCTTACAACTTGTGTGAAGCTGCATATTTATTCAATAACGTATGTATTTCATTGGCAAACTTTCATTAAAATATGAATTTTGTTCTTGATCGTTTAACGTGAAATTTTGTTAGCAATAGAACTTTATAATAAATCAATTTTATTACTATATACTTACAATATAGCTATACGAACGAATTGAAACTGACAGATAGTTTAAAATAAAATGAAAATCAAGAATAATGAAATTGAATTTATAGATTAAATAATTCGTCATTGATTTCGATGATTTTTAAATATAGTTTATAAAAATTAACAATTTGAACAATTTTTTTCTCTATAATTTTGTCAATAAAAATTCTTACAATTAATTTTCGAAATATTTGCAAAAAATTATCATTTATTACAACAAATTCTATCTATAATTGTCCTTGATAATATATGCGTTAGTATATTATTTATATAAATACATTCACTATATATATATTATGCATCTATAATAGATGAATTAATTATTTTCTAATCATCATTCTGTTATAATGGACTTGAGTATTTTAAAAATCTTTACAGATCTTAGCATAAAGTATTGAAAGATCCCGGTGATCGATGCGAAATTTGAAGAGATCATAAGAGAGGGAAAATGAACCTTAAATATAAAATTTTAATTTTCGATGTTTATTAATATCCAAAATATTAATAAAAAATAAACTTTTGATGTTATATAATGAAAATTGCATGTATGTTATTAATGCAATGTTGTCTATTAAAATGTTACTACTCGAATGTCGAATAGCTAAAGATGTTTAACTACATCGATAAATCAACAATTCAAATTGTCAATAATAAAATTTTTTGATGATGATTTGTTGCATTTAGTAATTAGAAAAAGAAAGAAAGCAATTAAAAACAAATATTTTCGACATGTTCCAAGAAATCTACAATGCAAGTGATTTTATGAAAGATTTGATTTTGAATAACGTCAACGTATTTAATCCCAAAAATAATTTTTTAATGCAATTTTATTGTTTTTTGTTTTTACTTTATTTTGAATCATAATTATGAATTTACTATATTTATATTTATGAATATATTCTGAATTAATCAAATTCTATATATTTTTAAATTTAATTTTTTTTTAAAGGTGAGTTTGTAGATTAATTATTATTTTATCAATTTCAACGATTTTCATATATATATATGTTGCAGAAATAATAAAAATTGAATAACTTTTTTCTCTCACGAAAATGTTGGATTTTTTATAATTATTATTTTTCAAGATATTTGTAAAAAATTGTTACTATTGATTGAATTTCATTTGTGTATATCTGTTATAGCATCACTATATCCACTTTATTAATCGATAAAATCAATAAGTTGTCAAGCAAGTATAGATTTGTCCCTAGATTTGAGCCTTGAAAATCCGATTAATATTTTCTATCGACCAATATCAGTCGATAAATACCAAAAGTACTGAAGATGCAACATTTTCAAGTTCAATTTCAGTTATCATTAAATCCTGAAATTAACCGAAAACACTCTTTTTTTTTTTTCTAAAATTTAATTTTTGGCAATTTTTGATTAAATTTAATAAATGAAATGAAATTCAATAATTGACATTCCATATAAATTTTTAAATTCTCTATTGCATTTACCGACTGATATTGATCGATAGAAAATATTGATTTAGGTTTTTCAAGGTTCAAATCTAAACACAAACCTATACTTGTTTGACTTACTTTATCGATTGATAAATATAGTGAATATACAAAATTCAATGTAGTAACAATTTTTTGTAAATATCTTAAAAAATAATAATTATAAAAGAATCCAACATTTTCATGAGAAAAAAAAATTAATGAATTTTTATTATTCTTACAACATATACATATATGAAGATCGTTGAAATTGATAAAGAAGTAATTAATTTAGAAACTCATCCTTAAAAAAAAAATTAAATTTAAATATTTAAAAATATGGAACATAATTAATTCAAGATATATTTATAAATATAAATATAGTAAATTCAATATGATTCAATTCAAAATAATTATGATTCAAAATAAAATGCATAGAATATATTTATAGAATACTTAAAACAAAAAAAGTTTAACTAAAAAACTAATTATATATATATATATACAAATTATTATTTTAATTATTGATGATTGATAAATTAATAAATATTGTTTAAATAATTCAAAAGATTAAATATAATCGAATAATGTATACATACATATACAGTAATAATTAATGGTACAATAAAAATAATATTCATTATTATAAGAAAGAATCAATTGTGTTAATAATTAAGTAATAGATTTCTATAAGTTTTTGTAATTTTTTTTTTCGGAATAAAATTGAAAAAGGAAATTATATTAAACACATTATAATTATTCAATTTATTATATTAAAATATTTAAAATTCATACGTATTACGTATCATAATATTTAAAATTGACAAAATAGAAATTTAAATTCATATTTCTATGAAAATAGAAAAACTAGAAAAATCCTTTTTCTATTTCCAACAAACATGAAAATAGCGATTATTAATTCGATCTTGTAACTATAATAATCATTCAACATTATGCACTCTACCACGCATTTTCTTTATCACTATTAAATATATATTTCATCTACAAACTACAATCAAATCAAGTCGAAAATTCGTGAAATGTTCGCATTTGCATCGAAAAGACTCACCCGCCTCGAAACAGTACATCGATCGATTCGGCCGAGTGCATCCCTCGTCCGGAATATCCAGCTTGAGCGGTAATAAATCCTTCAGTCCGTATTCTGAGAACACTGGATTCATACGTAACAATCCTCCATAACCAGCTCGTAGCTTCCTGAAAGTGAGCAAATAAAAAAAGACACGTTTTCGACTGTATTGAATGCTTTTACAATCCGACACACGCGTGAAATTATCCCTAAAGATGAAACCGTGATAAATTCGTATCGAAGATAAAAGAGCTCTTGATCTAGGACCTCGATTGGGTAATCATGGAACTCATAATATGCGAGCGGACTAGAAAGTGCGAGGAACAGAATGTATATACACACGTAGACCACACGTTAGGAGATATGTAACAACGTAATGCTGATTTATTGTCTCGACTGACGTAACGTGCGGCGCAACTTCGAGTCTTCTAGAGCAGACGAGTGGCAAGTCGATTGCTCGATTATATTGGACGAGTTTTAATATTGTTGAGAGATTTGTTTGGGCAAGAATAATGGAGTTGTTAAACGAAGAAAAGGAAAATACGAGATAAAAAAATTACTAGAGAAAATCTTTAATTTAAGGAATTGCTATGAGTGAAATTAAATTTCAATAGATTTTATCTTTGAATAAATGAATTATATCATCACTATATGATGAAATCTTTTTGATAAATTTCTTTTTAAAGAGCTTCCATAAAAGCTTTTAAAAATTGCGTTTATATTTATATCGGACAATAGATGAAAAATATTGGATAAATATAAATCATTCGCACGATTAATAATTTTATCTCTGATTACCTTCTTCTTTTTGTAGCATTTATGTTTTCATTCGCTGTTTCTATTATATACGTAAAATGTTTCTTACAAAATTAGGATAGAATAGAACAATTCTGTGACAATCAGATATATTTATTTTTGTTAATCACATTTCAAAATACTATATATTATTATATTGCATTAAAATCAAAGCTTTTGTTCAAAAGCTTACGTTGCAATATTACAGTCTAATTTTATAATTCAATATCATGAAAAGATTTCTACGCGTAAAAATCTTAAAGGAATCATATCGAAACCTTAACATTTACAAATAAAACCTATTTGCAGGAATAAAAATTTTAAATCATTTTTATTTTATTTTGTACTTTAATTCCATTATAAGATTTTTTATTCTGTTTTAACAATTACTTCACACTGAATATTAAGATAAAATAAAAAAGTTTGAATTATGTTCCTAATTAATATTACTCAAGTAACAAGAATTGAAGATAAGATAAATATAATAGAAGAGAAAGCAAACCATGATTCTTATATAATTAAATCATTTTTTTAACAAAAAATTAAGCAAGATAGTAGTAATTAACTCAAATTCGAAAATTTATTTTCAACATAAATATCAGTATATGTTAGAGAACAAAAAGATTAAGACAAAGATCGTTTACCTAGCGAACGATTCCGTGATTCCGTATACCGTGTTCCCATCGAGCACACCGGTAAGAAGATTGAAAGGCACACGGGAGCCGAGCCGGCATCCAGGTCGAACAGCAGGAAAGGCGCGAACGAAGTCCATGCATTTCACGTTGAACAGTCTGTAGAAATAATCGTCTTCCGGTATAAGAATCTCGTTGCAATAAGGATTCTTCAGGTGCGGTGGCCGATGGCAACATTCCTCCGGGTCGTTTCGGTTCAGGGGATCTACAAGTAGAATAACAGCTCATCGATCGTACGATACGTGGCTTGGCCAACCATTGGTCAGCGTGGAAATATTGGAAATTTATTTAAACTCTGGCGCCATTTTTACACGCGTCGTGTACTTTCTCCAATGATAGAGAAACGTCATTACGAGCGGCTTAATTCATGGGAAAATTCGAAGGCGTGAATGTGGAGAATCGTGATCCTGGGAATAATTATTCACTCGAGATAAAATAAAATCGACTTGAACTTTTTTTTCTATTATTATCTTGTTGTTTATCTAGTTTTCTTATAACTTATAAATTAATTTCCCTTGTTTTATCGCATTTAATAGATAATCGTTGTTTATGAGATAGATGAGAATAAGTAATTGTTTGAGGAAGATTGAAGATCCTTGAAGATTTCAAGTTTGTACCGTCGTTAAAAGGAACGTGTATATACATTATGTAACGTGTAATTATTCATACATTTTTTTGTATATTAAGTTGAAACGAATATTTATTCTTGTGTTTCTCGATTGTTTTAAAATAATGGAATAGATAAGACAAAATAACTTAAATAAATTATATAACATAGAAATACAAAAATTATTCGACTTTAATTTGTTTTTTACATGAATTATTTCATGTTCGTAAAATCAACATTATTGATGTTTGATATATCTAATTGAAAAAATTTTAATGATAATCAAATATTTGGCAAATATAAATGACAGAATCCTGAATTACTTTCGACAACCAATTAATGAAAATACATTAAAGTAATATAAAATTAAATAAAAATTAATTCATCAATTTTCTTCTTAATAACTATAAAAATAATTTGAAAATCCATTATTTCAATGGATACGATAAATTTTTTACTGAAAACTTTTAGAATCATTAGTTAAAGTGAAACTAGAAAACAATCGTTAATCATCAAAATTTTCATAAAAAAAAAAAAAAACAAAACTAATTTTAATTACAGTTCTACTTTCTTCAGTTAAAATATTTTATCTAATATTTTGAAAGTACTACACATATATATGAACATTAAAATTTGTTTTTTTTTTTGTTTAAGATAGATCTAATTTATTTTTTTAAATTTTAAAAATTCGGTAAAACATAACTTTCGAATTTTATTTTAAAGTTAAAGAATATAGAAAACACAAAATATTTCAATATATCTTGAAAAATAAAAAAAATATTAGGAAGAACATATCAAATGAAAAGGAAGAGTTACTATTTTCATTTTTTCTTTGATTTCTTATCATAGAAATAAATCAATTAATTATCCTATAAAATAAAAGTTAATATTAATTTTATCACAATATCAAACTATTAACAATATCAAAATATTAAATCTGAAATCTTTCGTTTCAATGCATATAGAACTGCTGTTAAAAATTTTTATAACTTTCTCAAAGTGAAACTTAAAAATTATTCTTTTTCACTTTCGTATTAGACTAATATTATTAATCACTTTATAAGATAAACGTTAATTACAAGTCACATTAATATTCATCAGTAATTATCAAAAAATAAATCTGAAACTTATAACAATAAATCTCATTTCAATGGATGCAATATAAGGAACCGATGCTAAAAATTTCTATAAATCTACTGAAGTGGAACTTAAAAAGGAAAAATAAAATAAAAAAATTATTAACTAGCTCATTTATTGAAACGCTCATTTATTTCTGATTTCATATTGTGAAAAACAGATCGATTAATTGCTCCTTACAAATGACTGGTCTCTTATTTCTGCCGCTAATTACTTAAAGTTTCAGGACAGCTTCGCGTGGACACGTACAATTTTGGTGTGAATCGTGGAAACTTCACGGTAATCACATGATCGGCCTACTGGTTATCTGGACAACGATCGTTCACTTTCTCTGGCGGTTACCCTAGTTTCGATAGACGGTAAATTTTCGACGTAGAAGGGCTTAGAAGCTGTCTGTGTTTGCTGTACATTTACTATATATACAAACATCCCGAGAATGCTACTGTAACTTGTCGACCATTGCATAATTTGCTATTGATTTAAAATTGGGACTCGGATTTAATTTTTTTTTTTTTTTATTCAAGGATACCATAACTTTTCACCTTTCATGTTCGAACCTTGTTGTATCATTTAGTGAAATCATTGTCAAGGATCGTTCTCTGGGGAGAAATTTGTTCCTTCGAATCGATATACGTGTGATTTATCGTTGCGAGGAACGATAGTTTGTTTCTTGTTTCGTTTTTTGATCTGTGTTAAAAGGCGTTTGAGATTTTTTACATCTATTAAGATTATGTAAATCGTATATTATAAAGTATATAAATACGGAGTTTTATGTTATTTATTTTTTTTTATATTATTTCTTTTATATATATCTTAATTTAAATGAAACATTATGATATAGCATTGAAAACAGAAATAATTTAAATAGTCTATCTATAAAAGCATAAGAAGGATATTTAATAAAATATTGAAACAATATATTGTATTGTACGATTTGGAAAATGATTTTTTTTTCTGATTCAATTTTTTTTAAATAAAACAATAATTTATTTAAAAATAATATATCAAGAAATCTTATATAAATACATTTAATTTCACATATATTTTGAATAATACATATATTTTTATATATCAGTTGAATATTTGATCTTTTTCGCTTTAATTCTGTTTATTTACCAATTCCCACGATTGAACTATTAATTTCATTTGTGATGTTTCATAAATTTTATAAATAATAAATCATAAATCACCTCATAAATTATTTTATTTTTCATATAAAATTATAAAATTGCAAAATAATATTATTAAAATTATCGCGTAATTAATACCATTACGAATAAAAAATATTAATTGATAAAATCGTTTTCTATTGATAGAATAAACCAGACTTTTTTTATCATGTTTTAGATTTGAAGTAAACTAACGATTAAATTGAATAATTATTAAATTCGTGTAATCTAACGCCGAATGACTATAATTTTCTACTTTCACATTCTTATTTACGAAACAAACATTCTATCTTGTTAATCGAAGATCAATCAATCCTCCTTTGATCCTTGACAATACTACTTATGTTATATCATCTAATTAGACAATTATCTATCGTTCGTGATCATACCTAGAGGCGTTCCAGTTAACGTATAGTCGTGATCCATAAACTGTCCCCAGGCGATGACCATGACTGTGCCAGCATGATCGTGATAACCCTCGTCAGGATGCATAGTGCGTGACACTATGCGTGATAATGGTAAATCATGACTAGTTACCGATATTCTAGGCGCTGTTAAACCGTCCGCGAATCGTGGACTCAGCACTCTGCAGGGCAGACGAAAATTCGCATCATGAAAAATTGATAAGCTTCAACTGATCAAATAGTTTACCTTTGGAAGGGCGCTAGTGTCGCGCCCCATGTTGGATTTTGCAAATTTGTGCACAATCCGTCGTTTCTTCGATATTTACCAGCACGACATTCCACGTTGCTCAAAAAGGCGGGGCATACCTCGCGAATTAAGGTCTTCGAAGTGTCGATTAAGGGTAGACTTTTCTCGATTTCTTCGAAGGTTAGGCCGTATCTATGTCATAGTGGAAATTTTTAAAATAATTTTTTTATTTAAAAAACAAATTGTAAATATTAGGAATCTGGAGAAAAGTAAATAAGAATAGAAATAAAAATTAAGCAATATTGTGCATATTTTTTTTAAAATTATTATTCAAAAAATTTTTAATTTAATTCTAAAACTAATATTTTTATGTGAGTTAATTCATGTCTTGCATTTATTGAATTCCAATAAAAACGATTTGGATATACTCAATTGAATACTATGGAAGGATCATCCATGGTTGTGAGGCTCTACAAGTATTTATATTGAGTGAGTGAACTTAATAGTGATTGACTCTAATTGTTTTTACGGTTGATTGATTGACTGAATTCCGCGGTTTCTAACTGTGATTTTACTTCCGCGATTCTAATAAACGGCATTGAAGAGCGATTTCCAAGGATGAGAGGATGGAATCAAGACTGCTTTTTCTGCAGTTGGTAACAAAATATTTGGCACGCAAATATGACTTATGAAGTAATCATCTCTATTATATTAATATGTATCTTTTTGAGCTTTTTGTATGTAGTTTTTTAAGTTTAACTGATATTAAAAATCTGGAACAATGTAAAAAAAAGTATATCTGCTTATAAATTATTGATAAAAATTTAAATTTGAGAACTAAAACTATTGAAAAATAAGCTATCGAAATCAGTTATAATTTTTATTTTTAATAACACTGAACTATTTTGACATTTTAAAGTTATGATGAAATCTTTTTTATGTCGGTTTTTATGTCTATTCTTATAAACTGGTTTAATTTTTGTTATTTTGCTCTGTATCTAATTGGTATAATTTTTTTTAAATTTTTATATTCTATATCTAGAGTAAATATAAATAAAATAGTTTTATTATATATTTAAACATAACTATATACACTATATCACTATAAAAATCAAAAAATAAAAAACTTTTAATTTTTACATATGTGATTATTTAAAATTTAAAAAAATTTAAATTTGATAACATTTTTAAAAATATAAAAAAATAATTTTTTATTAAATTATATTATTTTCTTCATTGAATAAATTTTTCTTCTCTTTAATATATAGTATAATATATGTTTAATATATAATATATATTAATTTTTATCAATTTTACCAAAACCATTCCATAATATATAAATGACGACTTTTATATTTTTATATAAAATTTCATTATTTAAATTTGTAATTTTTTGATAAATTCAAAATATATTTTATTTTACTTTTTAATAATAAAACGATAATAAACAATGAACTAAGAGATTTTTATTTTTGATATATGTATAAATGTAATAAATCAACAAATTTTTGTTTTTGGCATGTATTGTAAAATTGTATGCAATATATTTTTATAATATTATATAAATATACAAATTTGATCTAAATAATAAATTTTTTACGGATATATGATTATATCTATAAATTAAATTAATAATAATAAATAATATAAAAAATAATTAAATAAAATAACTGGTATAAAAAATAAATTTTTAAATATTATATAAGAACTGACTAATTAAATATATTCTATTATTACATACGAGTATTATCACAAAAAAAAAACATTTAATGCAACTGATTTTGTTATGTCATTTGGTTTTAACTTGAAAAAAATTGAATTTTTCTATTATATATATTTATTATAATTTATTGAAATAAATTAATATACTATCAACTTAATTTAAAAGAAAAATATAATTGAAATGTGATTCTTTTTATTATTTAATTTATTAATATTTTATATCTGAAAATCTTCATTGTTACTAATTTTTTACGAAAAATCTTCTGCTTAAAATTGCTTATAACAATAAAGCGCTCTATTAAACTTTAATTATATCTAAATATATATCAAACATTAAAATATTCATACTCGATATATTTTCTTTTTTTTTTTTTTTCTGAAAAAAGAGAATAATTTTCGTTATAATAAAGTTTCTCATATTGTAAGGAAATAAATAACATTCATAAAATAATTCATAAAAAAAGAAAGGGAAAATTCTTACGTTTGTACAAGGTTCGCACTGATATCTAATAAAAGTTCTCCGACCGTGGCTAAATCCTCTGGTCTCCACATTTTGTTCTTGGGTTGCGCCACATCTGTATGAATCAATGTGCGTGAGAATAACTACGTATCGTGATCGTCTAGAGTACCGGACTAAAGAGGTGCGTTAGTCAGGAATGAATGTAAACCAGAAGATATCGTTTCAAGACAACGTGACTATGTCATGAAACAAAATTTCATACACACGAAACGATTGTAAATCATCCCGCGTAAATCATTATATACTGATTATAATTAAATGTTTTTTCCTCCTATTCCTTTCCCTATTTGCAATACTCACTGATGCGTTTTCTCGCTTCGATATACGCTCGATTCACGGCGTCGTAAGTGATGCATGTCTGCGATCCGGCTGTCGGTGGGCTGAAAAATGAAGGAACAGAAAGTTAACACGTTGCTCTCGATCCTCAAACGTGATTTTATTATTCGTTAACCTCCCATTCTTTGATATTTCTTACTTTCGCTCTTACAGTCGGTTCTTTCTTTTTTTTTTTTTTTTTTCGACTTAATTACCTAACCTACGTTCTAGCCTACTTTCGTTGGAAGCAGCCAGCTTCAACTCGTTTGTGCTGCATTGCTACCTGTTTGCGTACTCGCTGCTGGATATTCTGTATCAAGGTAATCCGAAACTATCATAGTGAAACGTGTACTCGCGAAATGTAGATGAATTGACGTATCTCATTTCGTACTGCGAAATATGATGGCATTGACGTGCCGCTCGTGGCTTTTACCTTCGAAGGTTGACATGCCACTGAATTCTGGTTTCTTTACTTTCGGATCTTAATAGGTTTCTCGTCTTTTTTGTTTGATGAATTAATATATAATTAAGAAATCTTTTGTAAATGTATGAGGCTCTTTAAGTTTGAATATTAATATTGAATAAATGTTGAATAATATTTATTTTATTCTAAATTGTTTATATTTATTTTTAAAAACTTTTCATAATTTCAATGTATAAAAAAATAAATGAATAATTTTGTAAAAGATATATTTTAATATTATTAAATTATTCTTTTCCATAAAGGAATAAGGAACATACGAATGACAAATTCGTTTTTAAATGATATTTTTTTAATCTATGTAACTCAACATTTTTTATAAAATAATAATATTAAAATCCATAATCGTCAAATTATTAGTTTAGGATATATCTTAATTTTGTATGAAGATTTGTAACTTGAAACTTTTTATATGAAGATTAATATTCACTTATTTTTATCTATATCATTGCTAATTTAAAGTGTAGAGAATATTTATATATTATTATTGGATAAATAAGATCTTATGTAGATCACTTATTTTATTTAAAAAAAAATGTAGTTGAATTATTGATAATAGAAGAAATCTTAATAACTAATTTCTAAATTATATAATATATTTTAATATTTTTAGAATTAATAAAAACTAATATTGAGTTTCCTCCAATATTTAATTGAGATATGATTATTTTAATGTAATTTAATTTTTATGTTAAACAAAATAATTATTCTTCAATAGATATTAATATAATGTTCAATTTCTGAATATAATTTTCTAAATTTAATAAATTTTCATTCTCTTTGCATTGAAATTTACTTCTTTTCCATCATTCAAAGAACTTAAAAAACGTGATAGATTTTGTAACTATTTGTCAAATTAATTTCTTTATCTTTAACTTCTTTCTTTACTTAAAATAGCATTCTTTTGTGTTTATTAAATGCGTCGAAACAGCAACTCATAGAACTTCGTTAACATTCTTCTCCATTTATATGGTGTTTGTAAATTGTTTCTTAAAATCTGCTTATGGCTAGAAATGTTTTCCCACAGATTATCCTGTCACAATCGTTATTAAATAGAGTAATGGGTACATGTTGAAAGTATTCCCGAGAATGCACTTGAGGGTCGTTCTGAATTTAATTGCAACACAGTGCATTCCCATGCAATTTCATGTTATAGCGGTTGGTCTAATAACCTGTATATTGCTTCGTTTAATAAATTATTACACGCGCCAATTTTCCAAGACTTGGGACATAGAAATATCGAAAATAGAAAATTCAATCGTTATTAAATTTATGAATTATTCATTTGTTATATAATCATAGTAATCTGATCATTATCGGTATTTTTTAAGATATTTTTTTATCTTTCTAAACTTTCAGTGTTTCCTAACAGATTTATTACGATTCTATACTAATATATCATGATCTCAGATATATCATGAAGATTTTATTAAAATTTTATTATATATGAAAATATATATGAAAACATTTAATGTTGTTAATGTTCAAATAATATTGAAAAATGGACTATTAATACTTCTTGATTAAAATATTCTGGTATAATTTTAATAAATTTTAATAATTTTAAAATAATTCAAATACATGAAAATACAAATATTTAAATTTGATAATACTTATATACGTATAATTTTAATAAATTTTAATATTTTTAAAATAAAATTCAAATACATGAAAATACGAATATTTAAATTTGACAATATACTGGAACATAAATTTTTTTGAGAAATTGACATTGAACATTTATAGTAAAAAACAAATAGTTTTTTAAAACTTTAGAGTTTTTAAATTAGCTATAAAAATAAATGGAATAAATAATTTTATTCTAATATACGATTTTATACAAGTTTCTCTTATTATATTGAAATTTAGAAATATTTATTATACAGGATATTAACATATTCGTAGAATATCTTTGGAGGAGTAATTTCAAAAAAAAAAAAATACAAAGATTAAATAAAGAAATAATTTAATAATAATTTGATATTACATATATTATAATTAGACAAACAAAAATAATAAGTTAATAGTTTGCAATAATGTGATGGAGATAGAGATATCTTATTCAATTTTAAATAAATCTCAACTTACAAATTTTGTATTGTTTTGGTTTTTAGATTTTTAGAATTATCTCTTTAGAAATCTTAATATATTAACATATTCAAAGTTGATATAGAAATATAATATATTATAAATGCATAATTTATATTATTATAATAAAACATTATTTAACTTATATTCAAATTAACTATTTTTAAATTGACATAATTTTTAAATTGTCAAAATATTATCATATTTTAAATTGTCATATATATTTTAATGATACATATAAATACTGTATTCTGAATACTATTTTTGAAAATCATTTTACATGCAATAATCTAATATTTTGAAATATGTCGCTAAATCTAAAAAGATGAATTGGAAAACAGTATTTGAGACTGAAAAAGTTTTTCGAGGAAAAAGTTCGTATCGTTTCAAGATAGTCTTTTTGCGATTGTGATGGCACGTACGCACATTGCGTTAAAACAGTTTCTGCATATTCACCTGGTTTGGTTATGCTGGAATCATAAAAGGAAAAGTCACGTTTAAAACGCGTTTCCCCCATTCAATCGCGTACATGGACTGCATTTCGTATAATGTAACAAAATTTGCCGAGAGCAATTTTAAAGTGGATAGTGTTAAATTTATATATGTATTTATAAATTCCACTCATATCTTGTGTATTTATGTGTGAATTGGATATCACTGGATACGATCGCTGTTTAAATTTTATTTTGTCTTTTCTCTTTTTTTTGAATCACCGTACGATGCGACATAGAGAGCTCGGTATAGTAGAATAAAGGCATCGACCCATATTTATATAACATAATTTATTTCTATTTCCTTTAATATATTTCTTTTTACTTTATTATTATCGTTCTTTATTTTAATCAAATCATTTCACAACCTAATATTCTCTAATAGATAGAAAGTAAATACTTTTAATTGGGATTTAACAGAATCATTCTAACGATATATTAGGTTACATAAATATTATGAAATATCTGTTAATAACGATATTGAGATATCTTTCGATGATATATTATATTTTATTTACAATATTTCCGTTTTCGAATGATAATTAAAAAATGATTATTTTCGTCAATTTTCGATTATTTTGTTTAGATTTTTAAATGTTTCTTTATTTGAATTCTTTTTTTTTTTTTTTGTATATTTATTAGTTCAAGAATAATAAAATTTTTTGTTTTATAAAACTTTAAATTATTGAATTTAAATATGAATTTAATTTGTAAAACTTTTGAAACAAAAATTGTTTATAATATTATATTCATTTATATGAATACTAATATTTTTGAAATATAAAATATTATGATATAAATATAAAATACATGAGAATATGTTTAAAAACTAATAAAAATGAATGCAGTTCTCAGAATCTAGCAATATTATATTATAAATTATACAAACACTTTTTAAAATATATATATATCTATTTTTAGTATTAATTTCAATTTGATTGAGATAACAAAAATAGTTTAGTAATGAGATTTATAATAATGTACAACGTACGTTTTATGGAAATAAAATAAACAATAATAAAGTAAAATATCGACATTATACAGTTTTCACCAATTAAATTTAGTCAAATCCCTACGATTCTAAATTTTTTAACTCAAATCCATGATTTATTTTTTTAATCAAAAATCATCTTAAGAGTCGTTATTTTAAGTCTGAACAACATTCAAAAAATTATAATCAATTAATTAGTTTTAATAGAAACATTTTAGTACAATTGGGATCAATATATTTTCTATTATATGCTATAATGTCTCAAAGGAACTATTTGGAAAATGATAATTAAAAATGATATATATATAATATATATATATATATATATTCAGAGAATATATTCATTATATTTCTCTATTACATTTATTATATCTTTGTAATATAAAATTAAATTAATTTTTATATTATGAAGAAATAAAATTATTATTGAAAAAAAATATTTATTACATATTTTAATTTTATAAAAAATAATTATTTTTTAACATATTTTTTATTCTATATTTTACGATTTCTATCTCTGTATATAACTTTTTTTATGTGTTATTAACGTTGAAGTTATTAATTGTGTCTATACATATTGTTTTTTCACTTTTTTTTTTTGATAAATAAAAAAACAGTTTAAATTTCTTGTATCTTTTTTATATCAGATACTTTTAACATTCTTATATGTTTGATATTTTAAATCTAAAAAATTATATTTATTTTTAATAAATTTTTAATAATATATTGTTACATTTGTTTAAAAATTTTTTTCAGGAGTAATTTTTTCTCAATTATAAAAGAATAATAAAAAAATGGAATAATACATGAATTAATTTACAATATTATATATGAATTATATTTAATGAATTATTAATAATTCATAATTTGCATATTTCGTAATTTATAATACTTAAAAATTTAAAAAAATTAAATTAAAAATTAAAAAATTAATTTTTTTTTATTGTGCATAAGTTGGCTACATTGTTTCTTTAGTTAATAGAGAATATCCATAAAATAAAAAAAAAAAGAGTA